ATATGTTTAAAGGACGCAGTATTTCCGGAACATTTTCAAAAATTAAGTTGAAAAAGTTAGTTTTTGTAAAAAAGTTGCTATTTTAAATTCCCCCCAATGAGCAGGTTAAGTGTTAAATTTTCAAAAAAATGATATTAAATGAAAGGAAAATATCTAAGGTTTTAGTATAAAAAAAATTTATGTTGATTTGTTTATTTTTGAAAAAGTTATGGAAGTTTTAAGAAAAAAATGACAAAATTTACCGATTTTTAAATTTGTAATTTTTTTGGATATTTCCCCTATTTTCGGGGAATGAGGGACAATTTTTCAATTTTTAAGGGTAATGTCTTCAACTAGATACGATTTGTGATCTTTTGACGTATTTTTGAAAGAAATCGGTCCAGTGAGAGCTGAGAAAAAGTGGCAACAGACATAAAAAAAAAAAAACACATCATAGTAAAATTAATACCTTCTCCGCTTCGCATCGAAGATAAAATAAAAAAAAAAACACATCATAGTAAAATTAATACCTTCTCAGCTTCGCATCGAAGCTAAAATTTCGAAAATTAGCGATTTTCATATTTGTAATTTATTTGGAGGTTTCCCCCATTTATGGAGAACGAGGGAAATTTTTTCAATTTTTGAGGGTAATGTCTTTGATTAGATACGATATTTGATCTTTTGACGTATTGTTCATCAAAATTAATCCAGTGAGAGTTGAGATTGAGCGTTCAGACACAAAAAAAAAATTAAAAATTAAAAAAACCCATAATAGTAAAATTAATACCTTCTCAACTTCGCATCGAAAGTAAAATAAATACGTTTTACATTAAAAAAAATTGAATTTTTTTAAATATTAAATTTATCACCACATTATTATTATTAATTATGTATAACATCTCCTTTCTAAAAGCTATTGCTTGTGCCAGAGGGGACGGAAAACCTACATAGCTCAGAGCAACAGAATCGTACTGAAGCTCGACGCGTTACCGACAAAGCTAGATAAACCGCCTATAATTAACCTATTGGAAAGATGAACATTACAGTTTTTTTTCTTTATCTTATGTCTAATATACTGGGATATCTATTAAATTAATTACACATACGTAGTATTCGTACAAATTGGTTTGATATTTGATAACTAAAATTAGATCAGTCATTCATTTGTTATTTTGTTTACTAACAAATAACAGTGAAATTCTACGAATGAATAATATCATACTCATATTACAATATTTTAACACAGATAAGATAAAAATTTAATCTTATCTATGATATTAAGTGTGAAATACCTATATATATATATTAGTTCTCACTTAGAACAATAAATTTTTGCCATTGAAAACTATACATGGGCATTAATAGTTAATATTACTAATGTCGTTCAAAAATGGAATCGACTATTGTAGTCATGGCCTGGTTACTTAAACGATATTTATCGTTAAGAAATGGATTTTAAATAACTTTAGAAATGATTAATTTACATCACAATTTTCAGTTTAACAATTTAGTAACTTAAATTATTGAAATATACACTAACCATTATTTTTTTTAGGTTTTATTTTTTAGAATTTCCGTGGATTTGTGTTCTAGTAGAGGTTTGTTCATTTTTAAAGGGTTCCGGTTTTGAAACCGGTTTATTTGGGTTCAGTTCTAGGCTCTGGAGATAGTCATAACGTTAAAAGACTAAATAAATAATAAATAATAGAAAAAGTTGAGGATCGAAGTTACTAGTTGTATAATATTGATGTTCAAATATTTGATTACTATGGTCACTTATTTATCTTTTTATTATTTTACATTATTATTTTCCTTAAATAAATTTGTGTTTCTTGAAGGATTAACAACAAATCGAAATTAAACCATGAATAAATATATCTTTTTCATTTTTTTGTTTTTGGTTAGTAAAATCTTCTGTACGCAAGATATAAATTTACCTATGTATATATATTTGGCAAATCATTTAACTCATATAGAATGCAAAGAATTGACGTCTTACTTATATTCAGA